CCACGCTGATTTAACCACTGTAGCTGTGTAATAGGCTGGACCTCTCAAAATTGCACAGCCCCTTTCACGTAAAAAGCAAATCTTTCTAAAGATAAAGTACCTAAGAGTTTACGCTTTGCTGGTAAAAATATGGCACTAGGGGACAGCATTTTTTTAAACTGGCAGCCCACCACTTGTCTTGAAACAGTGTCTTTCTGCCGCTCTTCTATCTAGCATCATGATGGGGGTCAAATCCAGTCTCTACAAAATGTATATTTTGGCAAATGCACATAGATTTCCAGAGAGGTAGTATTTCCCAGGATATTTTTTTTTAAAAACCCCACTAAGACAGAGCACAAGAACCCAAACCTGAGATATTAATGGGCCCACCTGTGCTGTCATCCCTGAGAGGTCTTGGGCACCAAGGACTGGGTGAGGACCTTGGGAGGTCTCTAGGAGATTATCAACCTTGATCTAAGGTTGTAATCTCAGGCTCTGCAAAGTATCTCAGTAAGGATCCCGGGTAATCACTGAGAATCTCAGAACTAAGGAGTCCGAATGCTACCCGTAATTCATGTGACAGGAAGCCCTGGGCGGGCAAAGGTTGGAGTCACCGGAAATGGCTTTCCAGGACTTCGGTGGTCTCCGGGAAGTGGAAGCTTTGATCTGAAAGCCTTGGCCTCAGGTAAGGCGAAGTTCCAGAGGGGTTGGGTGTCAGAATAAGGTATTGAGAGAGGACTCCTCAAACCAAAAGTGAAGAGGCACCACACATCCCCGTGTTTCCCGTCTGCCTCGAAAGCCTTCAGAATGACTGTCCTCACATAATTTCCGTCTTTCGTTAGTTGTGAGTTAATGTCGTCGGCCAAAGTGTGTAGGCCCAGGTCCCGTACAACATTCCAGGGGCTGCCAAGCTCAGTACGCTGAGTGTTCAGGGCCCCCACTTCTCATCTCAGTTCATGGGAAATCTGCAAGGAACACTCGCTATAGAACTCTGCTTTTACTCTGAGTCACGGTAGGCGGCAGAATATTCAAGATGAAGATGAGGCCCTTGGTTTTAGGGAGGCTTACATCACGTCAACAGAGGGAATGTGTTGGAGGGGGGCCAGGCAACTTTAGCCTGGGGTTTGTGTGTGATGAAAGTCTTAGTTCATTGGCCTTATATAACATCACAAAGAGAGGCGTCCTAGACCCTACTAGGAGTAAATAAGAGGACCCCGAATGAGGTCTGAGAGGTTCAACCACCCTATAACAGAATCCTTTAGCTTTCAGCTCTGGGAACAGTTGTTAAGATATGGTTACCTCAAATTTCTACCTGGAGGTCTCAGAGGGGGAAGGTTTTTGTTTCAGGGACTTGGAACCATCACCTCAGAACATAAGGGGTTTTACATAATCTTACTGGAGTCAGTACTATGAAGCATCTGGCTAACCTGTGAGCGTGGGCTCCTTTCCCACATTTTTCAAGGCTTTCAAGGGGAGTGAGGAGACCTTTGTCTGACTGAGATAAAGAGGGATGCCATCCAAGCTGTGCTTGGAGTTAAGATAAGGGTCCTCAGTCAATACTGAAGGGATCCCCCACTCCCAAACAGACAAACTTCCATAGATGTCAAGCCTTCCTACTTATTTTCGGCCCCGGGAAGCATTTGTCTGGTGTGGCAGCTACTCCTTGAGCCTTCTCACTTCTTCCTTCAAGGTCTTGTGTGACAGACTGATTGTGTGGGCTAGAGAATTGTGAACTCTTAGAGCATTTTCTTGAGGGAAAGAAAGATGGAGGCAGCCATTGTAGAGCCCCCACTGTTGAGTTTACCAACCTAGGCTGTTCACATTCTATCTTTCTCTTTTAGGTGGGGAACTCCAGTGCTTGCCTGTTTTAAAACATTCCTGTGTCTGTCAATAAGAGTAATAATGTCTCAGAGTGGAGCAAGTCCGTACTACATATGTGATCAAAGCCTTGTAAGCGGCAATGAGCAGGATGAAACACCGATTTCTAATGTTGCAGAAGAGGGCATCATCTCCTCCGTAGTGATCTCTGGTCTACTGGAAGAGGCTCCTACTACTGAGTCATCCAATACTCCCCAGGGTTCTCAGAGTCCCTGCCTTTCTTCTACTACCTCATTGAACAGATCAGATGAGAGCTTCAGTAACCAAGAAGATGAGAAAAATCCAAGCACCTTAATGCCCATGCCAGACACTAAAAACTTGTCTGCCTATCTAGATGAGAAGATGACATTGTTGGTGCAATTCATGCTGATCAAATACCAACAGAGAGAGATGATCACAAAGGAAGATATACTGAAGGTAGTCATTAGAGAATATGAAGAGTACTTTCTGGAGATCTTCACTATGGCCTGTAAGCGCATGGAGCTGGTCTTTGGCATTGAAACGAGAGAAATGGGTACTGCCAGCCACTGTTATATAGTTTGTAATGCTATGGGTCTCACCTACTTTAAGATGCGGAGTGGTGAGGAAACCTTACCCAGGAACGGTCTGCTGCTTTTTATCTTGGGTGTGATCTTCATGAAAGGCAACCGTGCCCCTGAGAAGGAGATCTGGAAATTGTTTAATAGAATGGGCATATATTCTGGGAAGAATCATATACTCTATGGGGAACCCAGAAAATTCATCACCAGTGATCTGGTGATGGAAATGTATCTGGAGTACCAACAGATTCCCAAAAGTTATCCTGTGAGTTATGAATTCCTTTGGGGTCCAAGAGCCCACGCTGAAATTAACAAGGTAAAATTCTTGGAATATTTAGCCAAAATCAATGATTCTGACACTCCAGTTTATTCATCTCAATATGAAGCTGCTTTGAGAGATGAGGAAGAGAAAGCCAAAATTTCACCCAGGCTTATCACTCCTCACTAGGCCATGAAACGTCCCAAGGTCACATTAAGAAAACGTCCCCACTGTTAGGAAAGAATGAGGAAGATTGTCCATTTTATTTTTGAAGCAACCGGTCACTTTAGTTTAGGGTTCTATGTTTATGAATGACATTGGTCAATAATTGGTAGTTATAAGGTTTTAGAGTAACTTTTACCAGTTTAAAAACAAGCTTGGCATTAGGTATTGTCTTGAAAGTGTGAAAGCTCAGCTTTGAAATTTGGGGGTCAAAGAAATAGAAAAAAATGTTTGAAGGTGTTGAGTTTTGGTTTCCCTTATATTGTTTAGTCTGTTTCTCTGTAAAACTAAAAGATACCTGGATTTGTTTCATTTAGTCAAGAACATAAGAGAAATTAAATATTACTTAATTAAACCTCATGGACTATTTAATTTATTTCCCAAATAAGAAAGCACCACACTAGTACACAGGTAATATGGTAACTAAGACTCAAGCCCTGCTCAGAATTTTAGATTCTAGAATCTGCAATCATATAAAGAAGATGGTGGAGCCCCCTCTAAATCCTAAGGATATGTATTGGTTGTGAGGTGCTAAAATGCCTTCCCATTGCTAATGAGTCAATTCTAACTCATAGCAACCCTACAGGACAGGGTAGAACTGCTCCTTAAGGTTTCCAGGACTGTAAATCTTTCCGAGTGAAATATCTAGATGAAAACAAATGTAAGCAACCTAAGGCACAGCAGATTTGGGCACTTGGGAAACTAGTGAGTTACGTTTAAGGTTGGGTGGTAGGCAGTATAAGGCTGTGGAGGTAAGCAAGGATCAGTACCCTTGCTTATTGTATCTCAGAGTTGAGAATAAAAATCCTAGACTGGAAAATTGTTGGTAGCTATTACATTGGGATCATGGATAAACCAGAGAAGAGTCTCCACCTGAGGAAGTAGTGAAATGTGCCCTGCAATCTTGTTCCAGTGTAGTTGGACACAGTGCATAAACTAAGTATTTTATGTAAATCATCTCCAAAGGCTTTCTGAGAAATAGAGATGATACTCCAAGCCCATCTGTAGGCAACTGGACACCCCTTACAGAAGGGTCTCGGGGAGGAGACAAGCCAGTCAGGGTGCAGGGTAGCAATGATGAACCATGCAACTTTCCTCTAGTTCTTAAAAGCTTCCTTCCCCCACTATCATGATACCAATTCTACCTTACAAATCCAACTAGACCAGAGGATGTACATTTGGTACAGATAAGAACTGGAAACACTGGGAATCCAGGACAGATGATCCCTTCAGGACCAGTGGTGAGAGTGGCAATACAGGGAGGGTGGAGGAAGGGTGGGGTATAAAGGGGGAACCGATTACAAGGATCTACATATAACCTCCTCCCTTGGGGTTGGACAACAGAACAGTGGGTGAAGGGAGACAGACAGTGTAAGATATGACAAAATAATAATTTATAAATTATCAAGGGTTCATGAGGGAGTGGGGAGCCAGGAGGGAGGGGGAGAAATGAGCTGATATCAAGGGCTCAAGTAGAAAGCAAATATGTTGAGAATGCTGATGGCAACAAATGTACAAATGTGCTTGACACAATGGATGGATGTATGGATTGTGATAAGAATTGTATGAGCCCCCAATAAAATGATTTTTTAAAAGGAAGAAAGAAAAGCAGAAGCCGCTGTGCTTGAGTTATTTGCTCTTGCCTGGAAGAGCCAGAAACCACTCTATTCAAAGGACATTTTAATTAGTTAATCTTCATTCTACTTGGGCAATTCAACTAGCAAAGGTTAGGTAGTACATTGAAGTGAAATGAATGCAAAAATATAGATGCTTTTGATTGAAGGGCAGCTGTAAGTGAGAGAGGAATATCGAAAGAAATTCTAAGAATTTTTAGTTGTAGGCAGCTGGGAGAAGACTCCCACATCCAAACCTTCTGAGGGAAAGAATGTACAGTTTTACTTGCTAAGCAGCATTTCTCTGTAATGTGATAGTCTTGTCCTTTAGTGGGTGGTGGTTGTTCTCTGTGACATCCTGAATTAAAACACAAGTCACACAATTGAGAGTGTTAGTGATGGAGTCAAAATAATTATAGTAATAACTGTCATTTATGAAAGACCTAAGATATGCCTGATACTGTGCCAAGTATTTTCCATTGGTTGCAAACTTTCCAACAGTCCCACAAAAGAGCTTATCAAACCAACTTTACAGATGAAGAATTTAATTCAGCACATTTGGATGTGTACATAAGTTCATAAGACTAGGAAGTAACAGAGCGGGGAGTAAACCCCAGGTGTGAATTAGTCTTGAGATTACTCTTCCATTACTCTCATCCTTAGACTGACTTTCTGTCTCCTAATTAATTTCTCTTCCCACTATTCCACAATGTGTCTCGGGAAGTAAAAAGAAGGACCCTGAGTCTCAGGAAATAAAAAGAAGGAAACAAAATTTAAGGAGTCCTGGTGACATAGTGGTTACATACTGAGCTGTGATCTCCAAGGTCAGCAGTTAGAAACGACCGTTCATGCTGCTGTAAAGAAGTACAATCATGAAAACTCACAGGGGGCTCTTCTATCCTGACCTATTGGGTCACTATGAGTCAACATCGATTCGAGGGCAGTGAACTTGTTTTTATGTTTTTGTTGTTTATGCCTGACCTATGCTTGTTTAACAAACAAACAAACAAATAAACAAAGGCAAACAAAAAGTCACAACCATCAGTCAATTCTGACTCTTGGTGACCCTCTACTACTGTAAAACTGCACCGGTGAGTTTCTCGAGATTGGTAGCTACTGGTAGTGTCTGTAGTGGTTATGCCTTGGGCTGTGATCCACAAAAGCAGCAGATCAAAACCACCAGGTGTTCTTCGGGAGAACCATTACTCCTGTTACTGTTTCTGACGGGTTATCTATCTTGACTTTCATGAACCAAACGATCTTAAATATACAGACAAACATAATGCAAATCTAGCATGTTAAATGAGGCAAAACAAATAAAAGTCATAATAGTAAGGGGAGGAAATATTAGAGAACTAAAGGATAGTTATGTGGTTCATCAATGCCATACTGCACCCTGGATTTATCATCCCTTCCTCCCTTCCATGTGGTCCTTCTGTAAGGGACTGTTCAATTATCTTACAGGTGGGTTTTGGGTCTCCACTACATCCACGCCCCCTCACATTGATTTGGTTGCTTGATTTTGAACTTGTGATACTTCTTCCAGTCAGCAATTCATGATCACACAGGCTGGTGTGTTTCTTCCATGCTTCCCTGCTATATGGCTGCTTGCTTAACTAGAATAGAATGCCTTCAGGATCCAGATGCTATATCTTTTTTAAAAATCATTTTATTAGGGGCTCATACAACTCTTATCACAATCTACACATACATCAATTATGTAAAGCTCATTTGTACATTCATTGCCCTCATCATTCTCAAAACATTTCCTCTCCACTTAAGCCCCCGGCACTAGGTCCTCATTTTTCCCCTCCCTCCCCGCTCCCCCCTCCCTCATGAGCCCTTGATAATTTATAAATTATTATTTTGTCATATTTTGCCCTGTCCGATGTCTCCCTTCACCCGCTTTTCAGTTGTCCGTCCGCCAGGGAGGAGGTCACATATACTTCCTTGTAATCGGTTCCCTCTTTCCTATCCACCCTCGCTCTACGCTCCCAGTATCGCCACTCACACCACTGGTACTGTAGGGATCATCCGCCCTGGATTCCCTGTATTTCCAGTTCCTATCTGTACCAGTGTACATCCTCTGGTCTAGCCAGACTTGCAAGGTCGAATTCGTGTCATGATAGTGGGAGCGGGGAGGAAACATTTAGGAACTAGAGGAAAGTTGTATTTTTCATCGTTGCTACATTGCACCCTGACTGGCTCATCTCCTCCCCGAGACCTCTCTGCAAGGGGATCTCCAGTGGCCTACTAATGGGCTTTGGGTCTCCACTCTTTACTCCCCCCATTATTCACTATGGTAAGATTTTTTGTTCTGATGATGCCTTATACTTGATCCCTTTGACACCTCGTGATCGCATAGGCTGGTGTGCTTCTTCCATGTGGGCTTTGTTGCTTCTGAGCTTGATGGCTGCTTGATTACCTTCTAATAGCTGGGCACCATCAGCTTTCTTTACCACATTTACTTATGTATCCATTTTGTCTTCAGCAATCATGTCAAGAAGGTGAGTATTATGCAATGCTGCATTATTAGAACAAACCATTCTTGTACTGAGTAAAATTTAAGTATAAACCTGAAAACTATCTGCTTCCTTGTTGCATTTGCATATATACATATAAACATAAACACATATATTTAGTCTTTCCTCTTTTCTTTTTTCTCTTCCTACACTACAATTATGTTTACCCATCGTTCACCTCTCAATAATTCCTCTCAGATAAAATTCCACTGATCAAAAGTGACCCTCAAAGCTACACCTTCCTTGCCATCAATTTTAGAACACTTGCTCTTCCCCTGTACCCATTGTTGTTGCCTACCCACTTACCTCCATCCTCCCTCTGCCCACCTCCAGGGACTATCGGACCAGTCGCTGTCTTTGTAAGATTGCCTATCCTGCCAATGTTGTATAGCTAACCCACCACCACCACCACCACCAAACAACAACAACAAAGAAACAACAGATAGTCACAAGATTAACAGGGATCCTGACATAGAGCAGATGGATATTTCTCTATTAAATAGAGAGCATGACATGTTATAGGCCATCAGTCCTGTGACCCTTTCATCCAGAGCTGCATATCCCGGGTCCTGCTTAACTAACAATTCATACACCCTTTCAGTATTGAGCATTCATTCCTGAAAGGTGAACATCCTAAACGTCCCTATTGCTTTTCCTGCCATCAGGAATGGGGGAGGTCTAATGGATCCCCACCCCCAGTTATGCCTTTAGACATTCTGTGTGGCTCCATTTTGAATAATACCCAACTAGTTCAGAGGGGGTGCCAAGTGGTGCTGCCTGAGCCGGACGTCTGTGATCTGGATACTTTGAGGACATCGTGGATTTGCTCCAC